CTCTTCGTATCTACAAAAATATTTTTGTTTTATGGGCATATGAGTTCTTTCTAGCGTAAATCTTTGAACTGCCTAGACTCACAATAATCAACTAAAATCATATTTTTCTGTTCATAGTCTTTCTTCTAATTCACCTTAATCATCACCTCCATCCCAGACAACCACTTGCAAACTGACTGAGGCTACATCTCAACTGTCGTACCTCACCCAGAATCTTTCAAATGGACATCCGATTAACCGGCTCATGAAAACAGTGTCTTCTAATGAGATTGAGTTGACCAATCTGCGTCAAGAAGTGGAATCAGCGCGCAAAGCCGCTAAGCGTGCTCGTCTCTCGGCCCGTCAACACAAACGCCAAAAGTTAGCTCTGGCTTGCGAACTCGAGAGGCTTTTATCTGTGAGAACGGTGAGCTGTATAAACAAAAGGCCGCAGCATCTTGGTCTTCATTCCTCTAAATAAATAGTGTTAAGATGTATAAATTGACTCTAGGTCTGATCAACCCATTTAACGGTTTCATTATTCTTAACTAGATAAAATCAATGAAATTTCTAAGTATACTAGTGGGTAAAATTAACGGAAAACATTTGCAGCTAATAGGAAACTATGAAAATGATAGATAATTTTCAAAGTTTTAGCCCTGTAATAGCAGATGACTTTCCGAATTAATTATGCACTAGTTAGCTTCAATGAGATAACTACGACCTTTACAGCGAAGTGACAGGCATATTTAGAGTAAAGCACACTTCCACCTCAATTTTTTACACCGGTATTCATTAAAAGTACAGCCGAATTTCCTAGATACGCTCTTATTGTCATTTACCAAGCTTTCTCAATCAATTATACTAACTTATTCTAGATTTATTAATATCAATAGTCTTTAGAATTAATTAATTTTAAAGGGTATAACGCCAATAGATGTTGTTTGAATAAACTTTCCATATTTTCACTTCTATTTGCAGGACTTGAAATGCATTGGACAAGAATTAGCGGAATTGATAGCATCACAAAAGCGACAACTTCCGCATGCATCCATATGGTCTTCGGAATAGCTGAAACAGCTAGAATGTTATGTCTTCTAAGCTCTTAAAAGCAGAGTAAACCATCAAGTCTTTCTGCATGTATTTAGCCAAATGAAGAATTTAAAGGCTGTTTACAAAAATCTTGAATAAGAAACCAATTTATTTAATAATGGGCGAGAGTTAATGCCGCCTATGTGACCCGGTGAGGATCGCACTTACTTGGACTTAAAAAGCCTTCAAATTTGTTTCATAAATCAAGTCTCATTGTATCTATGATTTTATACATACTTTTTATATTCCAAAAAATATTTCTTTTATTAACTAACTCTGTCTAAAGTGCGACGGGCACGACCTAATTCCAAGACCAACAAGTAATAGAAATTGTACTTACAACCTAAAAACTTTTGCAATGCCTGTCATCTGTAAGCTATGTAAGGACAAACCTTAAAATATTAATACAACTACCAAACTTAGTAGTTTAGTTGAG